AAAGAGCCACCATCAACTCTTCCTTAGTCTCGACTGCATTAAACTCCTGGTCTCCAGGTTTCCATCCAAATCATTCTGGGCACAGTGATCAGAGCACGGTTTTATTTATTATTTATTTATTTGGCTGCGTCGGGTCTTAGTTGTGGTATGCGGGATCTTTCGTTGTGGCACATAGGCTCTGTGTTGTGGCGCAGGCTGTTTGTTCGAAGCCGTGTCCCCTGCATTGGAAGGTGAATTCTTAACCACTGGACCACAAGGGAAGTGCCCCAGAGCATTGTTTTAAAACATAAATGTGACGAGGTAACTCCCCAGCACAACCTTCAGCAGCTTTTCAAAGCCCCCAAATCCTCCACATGGTTTACAGGGCCCTGCATCAAGCAGCCCCTGCCCACCTTTCCTGCCTGATGTTTCGTGCCCTTCCCCTCCCCAGCTCCCACACTTGGCCTTTCAGTTCCTCTAATCCGCAGGAGTTGTCTCCTCTCCCTGAAACCCTTTTCCCTGCTCCATCCTCTCTCTGGCTCCTCTTCCTCCAGGTTTCAGCTTAAATGTGGCCCCAGGGAGGTCTTAACCAACTGCTGTATCTAAAATAAGTGGCCCCATTACTTCGTACCACTTAAGTCAATCAATGATTCATGTATTAGTTGATTTATTCCAAGAGTCAGTAAAGGCTTTTCCCAAAGAGCCAGATGGTAAATATTTCAAGCTGTGTAGGCCCTGGGTTTGCCCTTGCATCCTGAAAGCACCCACAGATAAATACTAAAAAGAATGAGCAAGACTGGATTACAATAAAAATTTTTTGGAATTTTTTAAATGAAAATTGAGTTACATATAATTTTCACATGTCACGAAATATTATTCTTGTTTCGTTTCTTTTTCTTATCTTTTTTTTTTTTCAGCTCTTTAAAAATGTAAAAATCATTTGTAGCTCCCGGGTTGTCCAAAAACAGACGGGCAGGATGGCCCGCGGACCGTAGTTTGTTGGTAGTTTATTACTTGCGGACACCGCCTGACTCCTCAGAGGATTGTTTTCAGCACCACGGAACACGGGCAGCGCTGTTCACCCACCGAGATACACCTGCACGGCGCCCGCCGCTCAAAGGGAGACGGAGGCGGGTTGGGCCTAAACTGGAGTGGGCGGGGTCTGCGAGAGCGGTGCCTGGGGGCGGGCCTTGGAAAGGGGGCGGGCTGAGCGTAGGCTTCCGGCGGAAGAGAGCGGGAGGAAGATGGCTACTACCAAGCGAGTGCTGTACGTGGGTGAGCAGGCGCGGTCTCTGGGTGGAGACTGGCCGAACCGGGCCGCTAGTGGGTCGTGGCGTGGAGCTGGACAGGTCTCCGGGCGCGGAGGGCGGCGAGCAGCTGTCTAGGCCGTATCTTTGGCAGTATTGCTTGGCCTCAGGGTGTGAACCTGAGTCGTAACGATCTTTGCAGCTCTTCCAAGTCCGCCAAGCTCTAACAGGAATCGCTTCACCTCCTGGGCCTGGGGCAGTGGTGGAGGATTAGGGACCTCTGAATCCTCGCGCCCATTCACTTTATGTTCACAGCAGTGAGGGCTCAGCCCCCGCTGTTGCCCTAAGCAAAAGAGTTCCCAGACTAGCCGGCTAAAAATGGGAATAACCTCAATAGCACAGTTTGATGAGCGCTTTGGTGGGGACGGACACTGGTGATATGGGCCTGGGTGCGGGGAGAAGTGACCCCTCCATCTGGAGAGGTGAGAGCAAGCTTTGAGGATGCGGTGACGCCGCAGATGAGCCGGAGTTAGCCAGGTAGCCGAAGTAGAAGCAAGTGTGTTTACTGAAAGGGAGCAAAATCCCAAAGGTGTAAAATAGCCTGACACTTGGAGGCAAGTGTTTCGTTTTGCGGGGAATCAAAGGGAAAGA